TCATTTAAATGTAGTTGTGGTTCACACTACATAGGGAGAACGACTCAAAGACTGGATGTCGGAATAAAGCAACACATGCCAACAAAAATCCGAAATCTTAAGTATTCTCCATCACACATTCTGACCAACACATACGGGTCTTCCATCACAGATCACGAAATAAATAGCCATAATTGTGGCTCTAATTTCAGTGTGGATACATTTACTATTCTTAGTAAGTCTCACTCGATTTACCACTTAAAAGTGTTAGAGCATTTCGTACTGAGCCTCCAATTTCTATCTAAGTAATTTTTTTCCAATACATATTGTCCATCTCTTTTTATAGATAATTCTATATTTATTAACCTTAATTTAGCTCTGTTGAGCAAGGTTTGAAACCAGTTAGCTACCTTGTTTTTCAGTTTTACCTTTTACTTATTATCATGAGTGGTAATGAATATAAATTTTGTCTTTTCATATCATTTGTACCACTAATCAAATCTTTAAATATATGATGTAATGGAATAACCTGTCACCCCCATGAGTGACTACACTATAGGTAGTAACTACCTATAAGTATATGTAAATCAACGGACTACAGAGACTACCTGGGATCTGTTAAGTACGACTCAGACTTACGTGAAAACTACCAACCTTCCAATAGTAGCACTCACTACTGGATTGACTTGTGACGACCTTGTACATAACTGTTACCTTTATACTTATTGTACTGTTTTTTTACAATAAACCTTTACTTATTTTATCCACCATGTTTTTCAAGTATATATTCCTATTAGCATAGAATATAACAATATATATATATATATATATATATATATATATATATATATATATATATAATTTGGAAAAATTTATTCAACTATGCATTTCACCTCTTATAGTAGGTATCCACAGGCTAGAATGAGAGACAAACTTGTGTGTAACAAAAGGATGGGGAAGATGCAATAAAGATCTTTATCAAATATGGTGGCCAGAAAGATGGATTTGAAATTAGCCCACTCCAAGTAGCTTTCTGTTTCTTTCTCTATTCATTTGTATACTGTATTGTGCTACTTATACAGGGTGCAGCAGAAATACCTCCCTGAAAATGGTAAGACATAAGTCGCAATGATGACTTCATATAGCTCATGTCTTACCATTATGTGGAAGGTATTTCTGGAAGGTATATGTGGGAAATATTTCTAACACAACCTGTATTTTTGCAATGATGGGTGATATTGTATATGAGCATGGGCTAAGATTGGATGTAGAGAATTGTGAGATCAGTGCACTTTCAATGTATTTTCTTCTTAGTAAATTATTCTTTTGCAATCAAACTGGAATTTCATGGTTGAATTGTGATCAGATGTTTTATGGTGAACTTTTGTGTTTAAAATGTTGTTCTGCCATAGTTCCCCTGCAATGTTTTTTTTAGGCTTTCTTTGAGATTTCTGGATGTCTCACTCTTGCATGTCATTGGGCATTCTGTGCAATCTATTTCATATATGCCTGCCACTGGTTTCACTCATGAACGTCATTGGTCATTTTACGCAATTTATTTTATGTACACCTGTCACAGGTTATTATTGTTTCTGTTCTGTTTAGTACCTGATAACATCTTTTATTGTTTTACAGGTGATGATGATAAATTACAGATCAACATTGGATAAGTTGTTTTCAGGGTTATCTGTTATCAAATTGGTGGGAAGAATTATTTGCCTAATATTGTCAGGGTTGTTGGAACTATTATCTGATTTTTTTCAATTGCACATTTTGTAGGCTTTGCATTTAGCATTATACAGGAAATAATTCAGTCATTGTCTGAAAGAGTTTACAATTAATTTATTTTCATCGAATATGAATTGGGAGCTACGGATTCTATAAGCTCTTAAGTCAAAACCTATGGTTATTCCAGATTATTATATCAGTCAGTTATGTGCCATGCATGACACACGCTTAGGTGATCATGTATCTTTCAATACATGACTGACAAGGCAGATATTTTCCTGCAGTTGGTTGCTATTTCTTTCTGCAGTAGACCAGTTGCCATCCAAGGCTATAGAATCCAGTCTGTCCTGCTACTTACCCATAGCTGGGGGAGAGAAGAAGAGGATTCATACCTTTCCCAAGGGTATTGGAATGTAATGAATGTAATGGATTCAACGGGAATTTAACTCAGCAATCCGATTCCTCAATCCGAGCCACTATCCATTATTCCACCATTAATATCTATCTCTTTTATATTTTTATAATAACCAAAGATTTTAGTATTGGCTATAAGGAAATTGAAAATAGAATATACCATCATTTCTCAACCTTTTTACCCTTGAGGAACCTTTGAAATAGTTTTCAAGTTTCAGGGAATATCTACATAAAATTATTATAACCCATTATTAATATCTATTATTATTATCTGATTTTTTTGGGGGGAGGGGGATTTAGCAAGCTTTGCATTTAGCATTATACAAGAAATAAATCAGTTAGTGGAGAAGTCTGAAAGTGTTTTATAATTAATTTATTTTCATTGAATCTGAATTAGGGACTACAGATTCTATGAGCTCTTAAGTCAAAATCTATGATTATTTAAGATTTTATTTTATAGTTGTGATGTAATTAAAAGTATTTGTGGATTTTTGGTAGACATTTAGTTGTATATCATTATATGTGTGTGCAGTAACATGACATCATATATCAATGGCATGCAATCTAGTTATATAAGTTATGCTCTGGAGAGCATTTAAAGAATAGTCATTCATTTGTTTTTAGTCTTTATTGTTAAATTATTATTGTTATCATTTAAGACTTTTATTCATGTGATTTCACAGTGAAAAGAATAAAAATAAAAATGAACTACTTCAGCTGAGATCACGTTAAATGCCCAGGATTTCAATCTTGTGATTTTATCTGTTAATTCTATCAGAGTTTACATCAATGAAATTAATGGTCGTGTTTTGTAGAAAATTTTAACTAGGCACATCAATGTAAATATTTATAGCTGCATTTCTCAACGTTTTTACCCTTGAAATAGTTTTCATGTCCCAGGGAACCCTGGCATAAAAATCATAAACCATTATTAATATCTGTCTCTTTTATATTTTATTATGATAACCAAGGAATTTTAGTATAGGCTATAAGGAAATTGAAAATAGAATAGACTAGCATTTCTTAACCATTTTGACATTGTGGAAACTTTGAAATAGTTTCCTTTCTCGAGGAACCTCTGCATAAAAATAATTATAAATCATTATTAATATCTCTTTTATAATAACCAAGGTATTTAGTATAGGCTATAAGGGAACTGAAAATAGAATAGACTAGCATTTCTTTAGTGTTTTATCCTTGTAGAAACCTTGAAATAGTTTTCATGTCTTGGGGAACCCCTGCATAAAAAATGATTATATACAATTATTGATATCCATCTCTTTTATATTTTATTATAATAGCCCAGGATTTTAGTATAGGCAATAAGAAAATTGAAAATAGAATAGATTAGCATTTCTCAAGCTTTTTACCCTTGTAGAACCCTTGAACTAATTTTCATGTTCCAGGGAACCCCTGCATAAAAATCATTACAAACCATTATATCTATTGCTTTAATATTTTATTATAGTAACCAAAATTTTTCCAATAATCTACTGTATGTGTATAGTAAAATTCTGAATATAAAAATTAAACAAAAATGACTGAAAAAAGCATTAGCCTATTTATTACTGTTTCTTGTGGAACCTCTAGAGACTTGCGGAATGCTAATATTCCAAGCAACACTGGTTGAGAAACACTGATCTAAAAGGATGATTAAATTCAAAACCAACCCTAGGTACATCATGTTCAAATATTGATATGTTCTTTATACTAATGTGAAACAGTCATATCTCTCCACAACTTCCTTAAAACTTCTTCATTGATCACATGTTCCTTCCAGAGTATTCTCAGCATTCGTCAATATAAGCACGTTCCTCTTACTTCAAGTCTGTCTTTCTACATCTTTGAGGAATTATTCCAACATTGTTACAAGATTCATTTGACTAAATGTAAAAATACCATTCCTTGTTACATTGGCCTTTATATTATGCCATTATTATTAATATCTCTTTTATATTTTATCATAATAACTAAGGACTTTAGTAGAGGCTATAAGGGAATTGAAAATAGAATAGATTACCATTTCTCAACCATTTTGATATTGTGGAACCTTTGAAATAGTTTCCTTTTTGGGGGAAGCCCTGCATAAAAATAATTATAAACCATTATTTGGACTATTGTCCTCATCTTTGTCACCATATTTATTATGTTTTGGCCATTGTACACTCTGGCCTTCTTCAGATAGTTCAAACGTTGAACTTAACCCTTTATTTCACTCACTGGGGTAGACTGTTCTAGTTCCACGTGCCATGTTTTTAACAGATGTCAGTTATCTCCTGTTAATTTCCCTCTGAAAATTCTCCACTGCCATAACCGGGTATTGAACTCACACTCCTTGGGTACTGTCACTGGATCTAACCCACGCCTTTATCCACTGCACCATGTGCCCTTGTGTTATTATTAATATCTATCTCTTTCATATTTTATTATAATAACCAGAGATTTTCCAATAATGTGCCATATGTGTATAGCAAAATTTCGAATATAAAAATTAAACAGAAATTACTCAAAAATGCATTAATCTATTTATCAATTTCTCACATAATCCCTTGTAACTTCTTGTGGAAGCCTAGAGTTCTGGGAAACACCTGTTGAGAAATACTGATTTATAGAAATATATTAAAAAAAAACAACATTAACTAGGGTGTATACACACACACACATATATGTTATAAAATTAAAAAATGAATAAAAGATAAAAAATAAATTTAAAAATGAGTAAGGATAAAAAATAAATAAAGGCTTAAAATTAAAATTTAAAATTTAAATTAAAAATAAATAAATGAATAAAAAATAAAGAGTAAATAAAGTAAAATTAAAATAAACAAATAAATAATAAATCTGAATTCTCTTTCCCAGTTCCAGTACATAGTGTTCACATGTGTTTTGTTGAAACTCCACCTTTTTCTTTCTATCTATCTATCTATCTATCTCACACTGTTCATATATATTTCAGTCTGTTCATATCTTACTCTGTTCATATCTATCTCATTCTGTTCATTATCTATCTATCTCACTGTTCATATCTATCTCAGTCTGTTCATTTCTATCTATCTCAGTTTGTTCATATCTAGCTATTTCAATCTGTTCACATCTATCTCTCTATCTATATATGTATCTGTCTGTCTGTTTAATGTCAAGGTAAAAAAAATCTCTTACCCTGATGAACGGTATATCGATGAAAAGAAATGTGATTTCTTCACATGTATGTGTGGAAAAGAGAGGCAAGGGATAAAGTGAGGAGGAAAATGTGTCACATAGTTTGATGAAGAAGACGAGTGAATGAGTAAGGGAATCTATTTAAAGCCACTGTTGTGAACTGATGTCACATTGTATCTGTCTCTATCTCCTTACTGGCTTGTTTGGTCTAGAAGCTTCACTTAAATATTCTCCAAAGGGATCACAAAGCATGTCTTTTATTGTCAGTAGGAATGCAACCCATTGGTTGAAGAATTTTAAATATTTATTTTCAAAGGATTAATTTATTAACTGGAATGAAATGTAGATTTTTTTTCTCATTTGATGATTGACTGCCTTGGTGTTTATTTCCATCTTTGCCCCACCAATAGCTATTGATTATTGTTGCTCTGTTTTTTTAATATTGAGAACTTTGTTTGCAAATATCTACTCATATTTAAACATGTATTTAGTCAGTAGACATTATGTAAAAAAGAAATGGAATAGTACAAAAATATATCAAACATAACATTTATTGTATTGAAGTAACAATACACAACATACAATACCTTTTTTGTGAATTTGTTCTTAAGTATAGAACAATGAAAGTTCTGTTTTCATAAGTCTGGCATAGGGTATCAGAAGGGAGGAGCAGATGGGAACATGTTGTATATTCACTTGTTGGAAGTGAAAAGAAGCTAAGAGCCCTACATCTCTTGCTGAGGTAGCAGAGCAATGGGTTGCAATTAGACATGTGGCAGACTTCACCACATTAATTTAACTTAGATTAGGAAACCAAGTTGACGTGAAGAAAAAAAGGATAAGCCAAAGACATCATTACACATAAAATATGTATTTAACAAGATGTACAAACAAGGATGTGAAAGAAAAGCATGCATTGAGTAAAACAAGAGTTGTCTCTCTTTAACTATTATTTGTGTTCCAAAGTTCACTGAAAGAAAGTTTGTGACAATTACTGGTAATAAATGTTTTCAACAGTTTTGCTGTATAAGGAAAAATATTATGTGAGTATAGGGAATATTCAGCATATGAGTGGTGGTGTGAGTGAGAAGGTTAATGCATTTTCCAACTGTTGTGGATTCATTTGGCAGCTGAAATCTCACTAATTATCTAAGAATATTTCTTGCTTATATAGGTAATTATCGGCTCTGAAGCGCTGCACAGGAAGAATCATTCTTCACATGCAGACAATCTGATTGGTTGGCATTGACCAATCAGCAAGCAAGCTTTGGAGAGACTCACAAATGCTTCTGGGATCTGATTCTCCCAAAAGTGCATGAAATCGAATACATGAAAATATAGTGATTATAAAATTGTCGCATAGCTGCGATTTATAAATTGTCCATTACACAGTAGTGTTGATTTATTATCCAATGAATGTTTATTGTTGTATAATTTGAATTTATGTAAGTATGTATGTATGTGTGTGATGATGACCGTCACAGACAGTACTGGAACCAATCTGGAACACCCACACATATAGGGTTCAGCAGGGCCTTAACCTTACTATTCTATTTACTGACCAGCGTGTGAGTGTGTGATAAAGTATATGTGTGTGTATGTTAATTCTCTATATGTTAAACTTCAGTAATTTACTGGCTGACTTGTTTCGTTGAGTATTAATGATCTTTGTAATTTTTATATTAAAAATATTTGTACATAGATATTTGTATGTATCTGAGTTGCTACATAAATGATGAATTTAAACAGATGTAATGGTATATTAGTAATGTCTGATAAGAATGCAAGACTATAAACTTTGCATAGATGAGAATAATTGATTTTACTAATTTTTTAATTGACTGATTTCTTTTTTATGGCTTATCAACCTTTTGCAGGTTATTTAAAACCAGAAAATAATTTTTTAGATTGTAAGAATTTTTTTGAGATTGTAATGATTTAGTGATACAAGTTTTACTAATTAACCCATAGATGGGGAGAAGAGGTAAATTCATACCTTTCCCAATTTTCATGTAACTGAATATAATGAACCTGACTGGAATTGGAACTCAGCTCTCTGTTTGCCAATTTTGAGCTATTATCCATTTCACCACCTGCACATCTAAGTTTACAGCATCTCATATTCCCAAGTGGTTACCCATCTAGGTACTGACCATGCTCAATATTGCTTAACTTCAGTAATCATACGGGAACCAGTGTTTCAACATGATATGGCTATAAGCCTTAGAATGGTACAAGGAATCAACCATTTTTCCAGCAGCTTTAGTGATGGATTGGTGCTAATGGTGTCTTCATCTAGCTAATTTACCATTAATGTGATGGATAAATTATCATCTAAATTACACAAAAATTAAAATAACACTGACATCTCATTTTAACAAGTATATTTACCAAAATTATACAAAAACATCTAGAAATACTAAAGAGTAAATTTATTCAATAAAATCGCCATTGGCTTCAACCACAGCCTCCAGATGACTTCGGAATCTCCTGCAACTCTTCTGGACAGTCTACTTGTTTAAGTTGGTCAATGCTGCCATAATCCTTACTTTCAGTTCATCTTTGGTGTTACAAAGAGTTTTGTTGGACTATCGCTCAACTGCACTCCACACATAATAATCAAAGGAGTTTCAGTTTGGGGGGTTAGGCGGCCAGATGTAAGGGGTGATGTGGTCGCAGAAATTGTCTGACAGCCATGACTGGGTTCTTCTGCTTGTGTGGCATGGTTCAGACTCCTGTTGTCAGACATAGGGTCTTCTTCTCTTGATCCAGAGCAGCACTACCTCCTCAAGGCATTTGATGTAGGTCTTTGTGTTGAGTCTGAGGCCCTCACCAACAAATTTGGGAGTTCTTTTCTTATCAGAATAATCAGAGAAAGTATTCAAAGCTGCCATAACTTAGTAATCACCATTAGACTCATCCAACTCTTTCTAAATCCACTGCACTGTCCTCAGATTGACACCCAGACATTCTGAAATGTTTCTATTGGAGCTTCTGGCATGAATGTCAAGCAGTACAGCATGCCTTTTCCAAATTTGTGGTGGAATGAATTGCATCAAGGGGCTCTTTTTCTCACAGATGGTACCCAACTGACTCTGTGCAGTCAACAAAATCAAAGACAAACAATGTGCATGAACAAAATTAAAAATATAAAATGGCAACAATTTACCCATCATACACTTGTATATAAGTTCTACTTGAGGTCTGGGATGTTGTGGGAGTAACCTTTTTTGTTGCAAGGTGTAGACGTTTTTCAGTAAATATTTAATTGCTCCTGGTATATTTGTCCTGAAAAAATTTTTCGTGGTTTCATGTTAGTCCAGGTAAAAATAATAGATTTTAGGCAAACAATTAATGCATGTATTAACAAAAATAAATTACGCTGTTGCATACACAGTTGAAAGAAAACAGAAGAACCTAGTCATGGCTGTCAGTTGAAAGGAAAGGAAAAGACATTAAAAACTTAGCTATTAATAATGTTTGTGTGTGTGTGTTTTTGTATGTCAGTAAGATTCCAGTTGTCAGTCAACCGAGGAAACGAACATGTCCCAGCAGGGATGTCCTCATCTACATTCTGATACATCTTGGAGCAAGAGGAAGAAATATTTGCCTTTTTATAAAACCTACATGGGCATTTAGTGAAGCCCTGTGGGGTAATTCACAGGAGGGGAATTTGAATCCCAACAGATATTCAAGGCAAGGAGACTCTTTGAGAAAACAGCCATTCATCATAATAGGAGTAAATTCAGGGTCCACTTGGTGATGAATGGTTTATTTACCTCTGGATTCTATCAAATTAGAGCTAAATAAAGCTGGTTTTGGACCTGTAACATATGTTATGAAAGGGGCTCTAATTTAAAAAATACACATACATATTAAATTCTAAATCATTTATGATATGTCCTGGAAAGGTATATATTTGTTCGAAGTAGCAAAGTGGTTGTTGACTACTGTAACCAGGTAGGACAATCTAGCAGGTAACCGTAATGAACTGGTCCTCGTCATAGTGGTAGGCAATAGGCGAAGACAATAGGTGTACACCCTGTACCTCCACATCAGTCTCTATTTATGGCTGACACCAACCAATCATATTACTGTGAGGGGGAACCCAGGTGTATGCATATTAATTATATCAATTTACAAGCATAGTAAATAAGCTTATATAACAGGTGTATACTTAACTTCTTTGGGCACGTGGGTGAAGGGTCAGAACATTCGTATTCTAACTATGAGACCTGGGTTCGAATCTCACCATGGTCGATTTGTCAAGAAGGAGACTTCCTGATGTTATCAGACTGGAGGGGTCAATCCCAGTGTGCAGCACCTTTGGAAAGCAACTGAAAACCATACCACAAGTAGACCCAAGCCTTGTGAGTGAAATTGGGTAAATGGAACCCTTGGGGGTTGTCAACAGCTGTGCTAGCACAAAGTCACAAGTCATTATGACCGAGGGTTTGAGTGTGCTGGCCTTGTTCAGATTGTTGATTACTCTAGATAACATGCTCTTTCTCCCAGAAACTGTAACTAAGGTTTGCTGAGAATAGTTGCAATATAAACTACAGGTGGGCTCTGTGGGTGTTGAACAAACATAAAATTTGCCTGAGCAAGCATCTGCAATAAGGATTGGCTAGCCACCTTAGTAAACTGGTATCCTTGTATACGAGTGGCTAGCTATACATTTAACTTCTAACAATATGATAAACAAACCAAGAAAAATATGAGGCCAGTTGTTCTAACGAGATATCTGAACATATTTAACGGCCTTGATATAACACAACCTGAAGTGACTAATAATTAAATATGCAGCTTCCCTGACAAGTAAACATTAACAATTGCCAGATCAGAAGATGCTGGCTTCATCAGACAGTTTGAAAGTATTTAATACTAAAAATTTGTGGCCTATTACATTTGCTACTTTTGCTAGGTTTAATCCAGCACTGTATTGAATTAATACTTGCTATGAAGGTTATGTGGATTTCAGAAACAACATTCAAACATTTGATCATCTTGCAAGGGGGTAAGGGACTCTACTTGTCCCCCTTCTGAGTTGGGCATTTTATACAACTTCCTATCCTATTGCCTTTTGTGCATATATCCTATATTCAATGAGGTTCACTTCCTGGTTTATGGTGGCCCACCCACTGACATCCTTTGAGGCCTGATTCTGCACTTGGTGGCTAGAAAGTTACCTTCAAGGTCAATCATCAAAGCACCTAAGTCTTTTGACATTTTGAGTTGACACCGAATACAAAGTTTACTTTGGTGAACCCAGTACATATTGGGGTCACCACAGATCAACTCCACTTAGATCAAAGGTTCCTGATGGATATTTAACTCAATTTAGCCCTATTGTATTTCCTGGCCTCAATCATATGCTATACAGATTCATCAGTCTATCCATCTGTTAAGTGATAACCAGACAGATGTTTTCTGTGTCTCTCCAGATATTTCATCCTGATTCCATTCTCCTTAATGTCATTGGACTCTCCTGTGGAATATAGGGACATGGTCACACCACACTAGGTGTTGCTACGGTGGTTTCCACAACAAGTGGATTTTCACATCCCCATGCCAAAACAGTTTTGAATTCAAAGTTGTCCTTTGACGAGACTGGTTGTCAACCAAGGCTAGTGAACCAGGTCTACCCTGCTATTTAACCCACAGCTGATGGGAGAAGATATGGATTCATACCTTTCCCAAGGGTATGTGTGCAAAAGTGAATGCAAGACTAGGGCAGAATTTGAACTTGGCATGTTGATTCCAATTTCTATGTTGATGACTTCTATGCTATGTATACATTCCCATTTCATACAGCACAAGAAATAAGATTTATCAGTTTATCCATCTGTCAAGTGATAACTGAACAGATGTTTCCCATGTCTCTCCAGATATTTCATACATCTCAAGAAATCACTCTTCACTAGTGTCATATTTGTTGATCAAATAGGACCTCGATCAGCATGATTTTCAGAGTTACTTTCAATCTCTTTGCATTATAAAAACATGTAGACTTTAGCATGGTCAAGAAATGGGGGATCAGTTAATTGTGAGATCAATTTGATCCCTCATTCTGTATCCATACAGCACCAGCATATTTTTCAGATTTACTTTCATCTTCTCTGAAATACAGAAATGTATAGAATCTCATTTGGCCAAACATGGATGATTATTATTGAAAAATCGGAGAGCCGAGCTCAACTTCCAGTCAGATCCATTACATTTACTTACGTGCTAATACCCTTGGGAAAAGTATGAATCCTCTTCTTCTCCCCCCAGCTATGGATAAATAGCAGGACAGACCGGGTTCTATAGCTTTAGATGGCAACTGGTCTACTGCAAATAGAAATGGCAACATACTGTGGGACAAAATCTACCTCATCAGTCATTTATCAAAAGATACATGATCGCCTAAGCATGTATCAACATGGCACATAACTGACTGTAGTATAGGATTGTTCCCCCACGTTTAGTCATACCAAACTTTGTTAATCAAATGCAGATTAGCTACATAACCATGATTTTCAGAGTCACCTTCATTCTCTCTGGATTATAAAAATATATAGACCCTAGTTTGGTCAAGAAATGCGGGGGTCATTTTATAAGTTAATTGTGATAAAAATTTGATCTTTTACTTTATATCCATACAACATGTTTTTTCAGATTGACTTTGATCACCTCTAGATGACAGAAATGATTAGAATTTTCTTTGCCCCAAAATAAGGACTATTTTATGAGCTACGCTTCCTCCGGATATATCAGTGCAGAAGAAGGAATTGGGGAATCAAGTTCAAATTCTGGACAATTTTCTTTCTTTTGCTTCACACTAATGCCCTTGGAAAAAGTATGAATCAATCTTCCTCCATATATGGGTTAAATAGCAGGGCAGATGAGGTTTTCTTGCTTGGGTGGCAGCCGGTCTAGGAGAAGGAAAAATCTGAATTCAAACTTGAGGAAGGCTATTTGAAGACTTCGTAGTTCACTGTAGAGCATTTCTCTGTTATCAATTTATTTCAAAAGTGTGACTGGTCTTAAACAAGCCTTCACTCCTATAATCAAATCATCTGATAGTTCAATTCTAAATTGAACTGTCAGACCTTGAAATCAATGCAAAAGTCTATCATAATTTATATTATTTACATTCAGACTAATATACTCATCTTTGTTGTTATTATAACAATGTTTCAGCCATTGTGCTCTCTGGCCTTCTTCAAGTGTCT